TGATGAAAAGGAAAGAAGGAATACAAAACAATGCACTGCAAGGCCTAGCATTAATGAAAGCAGCGTCCAGCTGATATCGACCTACGACTCTCATTTACCCTCGGACGGCGGGCGCGCAGGATTTTTTGATACAAAAGCGATACAAAAATGACACATTGTTTTTTTGCAATGATTGGTTCTCCATTTTTGAATTACGTAAAAAGAGAAGACCTCGAGTCTGAACAAAAACAATTCTTTCAGTCGCAAACATTTGTCGAAGCCTCTAGAACGATGTTTGAATGAAGAATATTGCGTGTTAAAGAAGCTGTTCTAGTTAGAGCTCTTCCTATTAGCTTTTAGTTGAACAAGTTTGACGGACATGCGATTAGAAGGTATGCCCACGAGAGAAAGACTTGCAAAGATGAAAGAACCAAAGCTTTAATCGTATGGCAGACTAATATTGCATTGGTTGAAATCAGGTTGAGTCAAAATTAATTTTTCGCCAGTTTTTTTTTGATCCTTGCCTTGCCAAAATACATTTGCGCTGCTCTCGTGTGCACACCTCTGATGACTACTGAAGCCGTCCGCTTCTCGGCATTTTTACCAGTCCGAGGCAACTACAGCCTAGAAGGCTAAGCGAGTCAACGGAGCTCCAGGTGTTTCTTGAAGCCAGCTCAGCTCATATGCGAGTTGACGTGGGCTTGCAGTAGATGAGCGGTGTTTTCAGAGTGGCAGTCCGCACCGTACAATCCATGAAGTTTTGAATATCGATGAGGAATGATCGCTTATTTCGTTTAGTCGCTGTATTTTCAGGTAAAGCACAAAAAGGAAAGCAGCGATACGGCGATGATATACTGCGTGAAAACCTTTCCAAATTCAGCTCACCCCTTGAGACTACACCATAACGCCAGAAATCCAAATACCCGAGGTAATCTCAACAGAAAATTTCATGCGACACTACAAAAAATTAAGGGCGACTTACAGAAATAGCAGTGTTGCACCATTCCTGCTCTTTTACTTTGAAACTTGACTGGAGGGTGATATGGTACAGCACTTGAAGCCCAATCTCCACTGTAACAGAAATTAGAACCGTATAGAATGGAAGCAGGAGTTGGGAAAAAATGATTCGGTTACTTCTACAACTTACCTGCCTTTGGAGAATCGGAGGCAATTATCTCTCAACAGACTGTGTATTGAATCGCTTCTTGAAAAAATATGAGGGAAGGCTTCTCCCCAGATCTAAATGAAAACATTTAACCGCTCGAATGAGTTAGTAATTGAACTAATGATCTTGCTGTAACCTTTAACAAGCGCAGCACACTTGGAAGTTTGGAGGCAGCCTCGATGTTGTCACAGTCAGCATCACACTTCACACGCAGCACAACTCGTAGAAACTCCTGCAATGTGAACGAAAATGGACAATTCCCAACTCAGTTCCATGGATTTAATCTCTTCCTGAATCCTATCATAATCGTAAAAATGTGGAACTTGCATTTACTGGCGAAATTTTTCTCCCGAAAGTATAACCTAATGTGTCCACATTACCTTAAGGAATAGCCGGAAAATGACCATTAACCCATGTCGAGTGTCCACTTCAAACAGATCAGTACTGCAAGGTGTTCTCCAATCCTGCCGCCACTTCTGCTTGATAGTGATGGTCCGTCGCGTGAATCGCGCAAATCGCGCAAATTGCGAAAATCAGCGAAACCTGCGACAGATCGCGGACTCTGACACCAGCCTTACATCCCAGCATGCCTACACTATTTCCCAACAGATCTTCACTATCATTATAAAATGAAAGTTTAACCATGTATGTACCGTATACTTCATTTATTTGAACCTCTATGAGCTATAAAGTTTACAGTACTCACTTTTCTTCTGTCATGCTGGCCAACATGTATAATGCCAGAGCCCTCTTCGGGATAATCGCAACCGCAGCGATCTCTGACGCTGTGTATTCATCACCCATAACCACTTTGAAGTACAGATGCAGTAGCTTAGCGATAACGTCTTGGCGGATTTTTGGCTGCAATATGCGTTATAATTGGAAAACAATTCACATTTTCTGCTACCTTCCGAATGATCACGTTTTCTGCTCATACTGGATGTAACTGTCAACAAACTTGAAACGTCGACAAACCGTAAGGTTAATTACTACGTGTTATATTTGTGAATATCATAATCAGATACATTTAGCACATTTAGCAGAAAGTGATAACTGAAAACCATTTTGGAGGCTGCGCAGGTGAATAAGATATAGTGATACCAGCGCTTCAATTGCGTTCGAGGTCTTACTCACACATGTATTCGAATTGTTAAAAATGCCGCTCAATGGATCTTATTTGTGTGGGTGTGGCTTATAGGTATGCATGATCACTCCAAAAACTGTTTGTGGGGATGCGTATGCCTGTTCGAACCCACATTCCCATCCAATTCACAGCGCAACGTTCACGAAAGCAACAAGTAATAAGGGAACCGTTGTGGGGAATCTCATGGAATTTAGGCTAAACTAGCAAAATTCCTCCTCTAAGTCAAGCTTTCAGACTAAAAAATACATAAGAAATACAGGGAAAAGAACCCCACCTTCTTATCCTTCATTCTGTCACAGCAAGCAATAATCAGTGACTCGTTAACCGCTTCAAGCTTTTTTCTCGCAGTTTCTATAACGCAAAGAACGGCTGTGTGGCGGACTGAATCATCGAGATCACGAGTGAGACTGCCTAGGGCTGCTGAAACGTTAAAGTTGTTAAGCTTCCGAATAGCGTAATATTGGCAATCTTATGAACAGCAAATTTCAGTTGTTATTGATTCAATATTGAAGTGAAAAGTCAGACACTTACAGGAAATCTGCCCTCTTAATTGGCTATGTCGTAGAAGCATTTCGTGCGAGTCTCTAGCGCAAACTTCTCGCACTTCATTGGAAGTGTCCTTGAATCTGCAATTCAATAACTGGACTCTACCAACTCATAAATCAAGTGATAAGAAACAGAATGCACTGAGATCGACAGCAACGAAAATAGGCAAAGGCCCAAATTAGTGCATTCTTAACCTGCCCATGTAGACTTTCCAAAGCTTCGGATGATCGTCATAAAAACGAGTTTTTGCGTTAGACACCAATTTACCAACGAGTTTCGTGGCTAGCAAACGCTGCTGATCATCTTCTGACTGGAAATAAGCATTTCGGATTCCAGTAATAACATTTAATGTTTGCGAGTTAATACACATCAATATTCATGAGTACAACTAAACTGCTGAGTACTATCTGACGAGTGCACAGCACGACCAATCTCCTTACAGTAACAGATCAAGATCAAGATACGTGAAGTGAGTTTCGCTGCATGGGGTGGCAACAGTGCCTTGATGCAAAATCCCATGTGGGGGCATCGGTTCGGCATGCTATGATCGCTACTGTTCAGAAGCGGTTTCTATGGGGTGGCTAATGAACTTCTTGCGGCTCACTCACCTCAAAGGTAACTCGGGTGGACATCTGAGGTGAACACCAGGGATCCCCTCTCTTCATGCAGTACATTTCCTAGTTTCAGCTATTTGGTTTGGTCTTTTCGAGTCTTTTTACTCAGTATAATAAAATGATTTTGTGGAGTCGAGAAAAATCAAGCAAAGTCAAAGCTATCAGCAGAGAAATTCAAATATACAGCTTTATAAAACGGGTGAATTGCTTTCACAAGAATGCCGGCATGTGAACGATACTTTAGCCTCAAACGGGAGTCGAACCTGCACCTATTGCTTACTGGGCAAGGGCGCCACAGGTTACGCTACTGGGGCACCATTTCATCCCCTCGCCTATTAAGCAAATGGTACGGGTTCAAGTCCCGTCTCAGGCAAAAGCTTCACTCACAACTCAGCATGTTTGTGAAACTTTCGCTAGGCGAGCTGCGCGACCAAAAACAGCAGTTACACTCAAAAAATTACTTTAACAGAAACCTCCAGAATGCCAAATGAATTTTCTAGATCCTCCTAGAAAGCAAAATTGGGAACTCAAAAAATGAGCCTCATGGGGAAAGCAACAGCGAAGCAAAAAGATCCGGTCGCAGTAGAGCCTACATGAAAAGTTAAGCTTCCAACCTAGACCCAGAACTTAGTCAGTTCACAAACAGGGATACCTTGAACTGATCTCTGCAAATCTGGTGATCTACGGTATTTTATCCCCCCCCCCCCATTTAGTATGTGCTAAACCAGACTGTCAGAACCATAAAACGTGACTGGAACGTTTGATGTGGTCATCACACCAATCAGTTTCCACTTTTCAAACTCTCTAGAAAGCGAACTCTCCGGAGGGTTAAGCGTTATACGCTGTTATCGTTCACAAGTGCAGTAAGGCCAGTGAACTATACTACTACCTTGCCAGGGCTCATCAGTAGGCTATTTGTTTTCCACGAGTCATCTAGGGAAATGGTGCCATGAGGAGTACTGCAGCAATAACCATATGAATGGCTGTTCACACGGCCGCTCGCTTACTATAACATCCCTATTCGGTCTAGTAATTGTGAGCAAAACGCTACGGCTCGTCTTTTCTTTCTATCCCTTAACTTAAAACTTTGGCTTTCGAAACGCCGCAAGACGTTTAAAATTACGGCAACTCCCTACTGGAAAATTAAGTGGATTTATGTGGTGGAAAGACTTACTCGTAACGCAGAAGATAACTGAGGAATCACTGGAGCCATAAGTTCAGGAGCAATTCCATGCAATTCCAATATAACGTCGTAGAGTTTTTTCCGAGCGTTTCCAACCAAATCACACTCTTGCGGAAGACCTCCAGCTAGTAGCGACTGCGTAAGTAACTGGAAGTACAATAAAATAAGCCAGAACTGATTCTAAAAATCAGGAGCAGGTTCTCTCATGATCAAAAAATATTTCAGCAGTTCCAAAAAAGAAAAAACACCAAAAGCATTTCCAATATTTGAAAGAGTACCAGGGTTAAAGTCATGGTGACAACTTTTGCCCCACGACTATGATAGGCATGTAATTCACTTACAGACTGAATAGCTGCTTCAAGGGAGGTTTGAGAAATTTGTATTATTTGTCGAGCCATGTTATAAGATTCACGATTGTTAAGCTGAAACGAAGAGAATACATGATTGTATTTTTAGAGAAAGCATAGCACAGAACACTGCTAAGAGAATCAAAAAAAGCTCAGAAAGCACCTTTTGTGGGTTAATGAGGTAGAAAAACAGAACGTCCAGAACTTCTACGGAGACTTGATCTACATCCCTCAGCAACTTTGTGATCATTCCTATTAGGAGAGCAATAACCTAGAATACTGGATGAGAAACTCGATCAGATTCTCACAAGAACACTGTACCGACCTTGTCCCGAGTTTCGGACTTGTCGTCATCATCCGCAGCAGATCCATCATCCGATGTTTCGCGGATTTCACCTTTCCAATCCCTTCCGTTGGCAACTTCCATTGCAGTTTTGATAAGCATTCGAATTACTTGACTGGTGTCATCGTGAGGCAGTTCAAGACACAACACCAATGTACTGACTACGCTCAGATTCTAAAACACTGGTGGTCTATAATTTGCAATTGTCAGATAAGAAGAATTTAAAAAATCACCTCGAGCAGATAGAAGTAGCGACGAAACCAGGAATTAGACGGTGATTCCAACCCCCTCAGGGTTTTGACTATGAAGAGCAGTACTTCCTTGGAATACACGTTTCAAAAGAACGAAAAGCAACGTGATGGGAGAAAGAAGGGTCATTCACTTACCTTTAACTGTGTTGGATCTCCCAAAGGAACATTGGGTGCGAAAATACGAAGTATATCAGCCAGACAACAAGCCAACCAAATCTGCACATCTTTATTATTATTGGCGAGGAAGCGAGAATTTGAGAGATGGCATATCAAGCCGCGGTAACGATCGGGTTGACCACAACCTTCGTTGGTATCAGAGGCCTCCAGTGCTTCTGACAAAATCTGAAAATGAACTCTCGACGATCATATTTGCATTACGCAACATGACCTCTGTATTGAACGAGCGTAAGCTTTAGAAAGGTACCTTTAGCCTCTTGAGGAGCTCACTGTTGCTACTGGTGCTTACTATGGGCAAGCAATTCGGAGGATATTCAACGTTGTCCTCCATCGTTCAGAAACGAATTGGCAAGAGGATTGATTGCCGCCAATCTGAAATTCAAGAACACTTCTACAACAAAAGCACAACAGAAATACAGCGGTATTTTACGAAAACAAAACAGTATTCCACTTATAAGCCGTAAAGAGGGCTATTATTATCAAATAATTCCTTCCTTGAAGGTTCAAAAAAGAGCTAAAGTAATGCTGTTGCTCTTTCAAACATGAGACGAACATTGGCTGAAGATCCTCTTGTCAAACCTTTTGTTTTACACTTCACACGCTGCTTTTGACGGCTCTAATGGGAAACAATTCGCATGCTACTGCAGCTGCATGAATCACCCATCAGAACGTGGGGATAAGAAATGGATAACAAATGTAGAAAATGGGAATCCTTGGAAAGAACCAGCGCCAAAGTGAGACGAAGTGAGCAATAAGCTATGAACGAGAGGCGGTGTGAAATGTCATACACTTTGATGTTGGGGTGCTTGATTCAATTGGCGCTACACTGAAGAATAGTGGAGACTATTTAGCATAACCAGCAAACCCACGAAAAGGGCGATCGGGGGAGTAGCGAATCACAGAATCGGCTGACAAAACGTTGTCCATTGTGGCGCCGATTGTTGATGACCCGGCCATCTGATCCCGATTCCAAGCACCATGTTCAACAGATCAACAGGGCTCTAGCCCTTCTCACCGATTCGCTAATTTTCCAGTTCACGCCAAGTATGAATGCCGCTTGCAGCGAGCCCCTCTGTTCTCCTTCCCTCGCCAATGCGCCTACACCTGAAATCGTGCTCGCGTTGCATGAAAATCGTAATCAAAAGTTTTAGAACTAAAAAGCTCTTTTAGTGTGAGAAAGTTGGCAGTTTTACGGACAGAAATGCTGAAAAAAAGTTGCTGCCGGTGTGAAGATAGGTGATCCAATTATGCCGACTTATAGATTTTTGGCACGCGCGTCAGTCACATCCACGCTTACCAAATCGATATCATTATGTTACCAATATAAATTTGCAGACGTGAGAGGAAAGATAGCGCTTAAAACGCTGATACAGGAGCTGATGTGGTGAGACTAGATTTTACTATGACTTTATGCCGCTGCTGAAGAAGAACCAGTTCAGTTTATTAACGGGTCATTCAATACTACCGCTAATGTTTGACTGTATCATGCTGTGCGCTTTAAATGAGGGTGCGGTTACAATAAGCTTTGCGACTCTAGGGGTGGAGCTAATATTACGTTGTCGGTCGTGCGAAGCTCACAATCGATGCGTAATCTACCCCTCCATATTCGGTGCGTGCAAAGCAGTGCTAGGCAACCAAAAGTGTTAATCCATCCTAATTGTGCTTGCTTTATGACCCTTCCGCCTCGAGAGCTGACCAGCAGATTTAGTATGTGAAAAATATTATTTGTATGTCGAATCTCTCATAATACGCTTAATATGGATTTAAGCCGTAATTTGTATCTAAGGCGCTTCAGTTGTGAGCCATACAATTCGAAAAGTCGAATGTAAGCAAGGTGCCAGAATCGCGATTGTAATCGCGAAGTTTGACGCCAATCTAACTACTGCAAGTAATGAGTCAAGCTGCAACTGCTTCTCAGTATAGGAAAATTCGGTCTCATCCAGTCAAGGCGGCACGTGTTGCGAGAGTTGCTGCCACTTACAGCATCCAATTTTTGCACGAGGAGGGACTCTCCGAGTCGCGTGAACCATTTCCACTTTTGCTTTCGCACCCAATGAAATGAAATGTCCCGCTCATTTCCCCATTACTGGATGAGACCCAGAAATTGTTTTCAGTGAGCTCGTTCCTCCCCCTATATTTGCAATTTAATAAAGAGCCTCATTGAAAGGTGTCTTGTAATTCGATGAAACGAAAACGAAAAACACAGACAGGAGAGCCTTCATCGACGTGGAGAACAGAATCCAGCATCTCTCCTCTACAGCATTTCCATCGTAAAAATTTGGGCTGGTAAAGTTTGAGTAATTCAAAAAAGTTGACCAGGTTGAGCAGATTCGAAAAGCCCATCTGTATGAAGTGTAAACACACTCAGACTGCTGTCACTGGCCGATGTCAGACTTTGCGATTGGAGCGATGGTGCACAAATTGCAGCGCTTGAGCGGACATCGCTGCGAGCGACGGGAGATTTACACGGCCGACCAACGATAATTCGGCGTCATCAGCTCGTAAATGTCCCGTCGCTCGCACTGCGAGCGACGCGAGATTTACACCGCCAACCACCGATAATTCGTCGCCACGGCGACCTCATTTGCAGTTTGAGTGTACAATAGATACAACCAGAACCAGAAGGTTGGCCAGAACAAGAAGTGATTATTCCCCTTTTTGCAGCGCGAAACTATTTTCCAGCATCCCCAGCGGCCGGGTGCAGCAAGCCCCGATTGAGGGATGGGTCCCTCAACGATGTTCATGTCCCAAGATTGGGGATACCTATGTCCCCAACAGAAGCATGGGTAGGGTCAATTAGCCTTGTTCCCCCCGGCCCCTGTCCTAGCGAGCCACACCCACAAATCGACCATGTGTGGATGTATCAATACGTATCAACTTCATGAAAAATCGCCATTTCGTACCGTGATCGTAGCGGTTAGTATTTCTCCAAAAAAAACTAGGGATCAACGTTCGCTGACCGGCTCAGCAAATCGTTTTCAATAACTTGGAACCTCATGGAGGTGCTAAGTTATGAGTTGGGGGAACTAACGAAGCTCAGAGCTCAATGTGGCCAAAAGCCAATCACAAATCATAATGTCAGAGCTTACTGATTCCTTCCTAGGCTCAGGCTAAGTCTCATCGCGCGCTTGAAAAATAGCGCAACCGCGTGGTCCCCCCCCCAACTCACTTAGCACCACTTATGATTAGCACCTGCCACTACGCTTTGGCTAGAACTTATCTGCCTTAATCCCTCAACAACAAAAAAGAAACAAACAGCGCAAAAGCTGGCTTGCAGAACCCGCGCAAACGAACGGACCAAAATTTTGAACGCTTTTGGAGATGGAGCACCAATCGTGACTGGGACACGACATTCGTGGGTGGGGATACGCTACCGGCGAAAAGGAATATATATCAGAGGGAACACGCGGTGGATACAGAAAGGAGTCCAAGTAGGGCACTATCAGACCAACAACCCCACTGCAAGCAAAAAAGCGCAGAAAATCCGTGGAAACTTCTACCGTGGGCTTTGGTTGTGTGCAGCTGGACTATTTAGCGGCCAGTTGAATACGCACATCCATTTCTATCACGGATCTTTGAGTTCACCTACAGAGATAGTATAGTGATAATACTGAATACGAGTTCTTTTTTGCAAGCCGAAGCTTCAGCCATTCACATGGCTTGAACTCCACGGGCACCCAACCAATCTCGTATTTGTAATCGGGTTGATCTGGAACAGATACAGCCGGACGCATTCAGTACGATCAGTATTAGTATTGCTCTGCAAGCCTACTCCTGTTTTATCGTTCAGAACAGCTGTCTCGTGGCTCTAACGATAAGTTACCAGCGATTCGATCACAGTGTTGTAGCACCGCACAAATTTGGCGTGAAGTGCGGTGTTGTACGTAAATGACCCAGACACACTCTCCAGACGCCAATCTCCAATTTGTGAAATTCTTCTGTGGTTTCGTATTGTGTCTCACACAATTATTTGCAACAAGTTTATGTATGGTGTCTCATTTTCAGTTCTGTTTTTAGTCTACTTCTCCTCGTGGAAATCTGTATTTTTTTTGTGTCAACGAATGTTTGAGATTTAGTAACACTGGGTTTCCTCAATTGATAGTCAGCTTAACAAATAAATTCATATATTACAGTGTCAAATTTTAAGTGAAACTAGTTTCCAGGAACGTCGAGTGCAGAAGCAGTTCCCATACTCTTTGTAATTTGTTCCTCTTCTTTAGGCTTAGGCCGATGTCAGACTTTGCGAATCGCGCGATTCGCTACTAGCGATTCGCGCGATTCGCTAGCGTCCGCGGTCGCGTTGCGGTACCAGCCAATTGAGTGATTCACTGGCCGCGACGCGACCGCAGACGCTAGCGAATCGCGCGATTCGCAAAGTCTGACATCGGCCTTACCTAGTGAACTTCTACAAAGCTGCTCCCCGGAGGCATAGGCCTAACTCAGAATTCATAGTGATTTCGTGTGTACATTAGTACGAGAACATGTGAAGTAAGCAAACCAGCCCTTTTGGCGTTTCTGCTGGGGCCGTATGCTGAATGTTGGGGAGGGGATGGGTCCCCGACGGTCGACGGACTACTTCAACTCGGTCCTTAAAACCGCCTCAATTTGATGCTTACCTCAGGACTAAGCCTTAAGAGAGGACGGACCTGCGAGAGAGCGCAGGTCCTCGCCCCTTTCCGAAGGCTTAGTCCTGGGGTAAGCAAACCAGCCCTTTTGGCGGAGCTGCTGGACCAGCTGCACCACTTGCGTCATTACTCTCCTACCGTACCGACCGAGTTGAAGTAGTCCGTCGACCGTCGGGACCCCCATCCCCTCCCCAACATTCAGCATACGGCCCCAGCAGAAACGCCAAAAGGGCTGGTTGCTTACTCGAACATGCTGCACCTAACGATCGTGCACTCCTGTAGTATTGTCCAGTTTTTTTTGGAGGGGAACTAACCCGATGCGTGAAGCAAGGTGTAATTTCACTAGAGAATGCGGCATTTCCACTACCGCGTTTGCAGCCTTAATCCGGAAACTTTCCTCCTTAATTCAAATGGTGGACTCGGTTTGAGATCGAACCACATGCCCCCTTGTTGGAATAGACCCACGATTTCGGATAACTGGGAATTAGCGGGAATTAGACCATGTTAATGCATACATATTTTGCTTACAAATGGTTCGAAAATTGAACCTTGTTCGAGGGCCGCGTTGGCGAACCTGTTCGCTGTTTTCGTGGTGTCGTTGGTAGTTAAAAGCTCGTCGTTGGCTCTGTCATCATTTCTATTGATCTTACTTCGGCGGTTGAGTTGAGAAAGGAAATCATTTTACAGGCACGTACGACAGTTCAAG